GGCCCGCGTCCATCGTGTCCATCATCCAGATTGGCAGAGACGGTTCGAGCATCGCGATGCCCATGTTGGCGAACGTGATGGCGCCTGAAACACAACAGGGCGCCGCCTCACGTGACCTGCTGGCTCTGACCAGAAATGAACACAAAGTTTTCGTTGGAATACCCGAGGGGAACAAATCACGAGGAGGGTAATATTACAATGGATCTTAGGGAGGGCGTGGATTGGATTCATCTGTTTCAGGATAGGGGCCGGTGGCGTTACGATAATTATTGTTATTCCCTGATTTACCCGCTTGCGCGCGCATACACGCACGAAGCCAACATGGCCGACACTCGAATCGCTGTAATGACGGGCAGAAATGTTATACGGCGTACTCACCTGCAGCTACCACGATGTAAGGATCCATGATGAGTGTCTTGAGCGACGGAGGGTCGGACTCCTGTCGTACCACGCCAGGCTGTAGCATCAGCAGCTGCAACACTGCAAAAAATAGTTCGGCGCGTTTGAAAAAACAAGCGAGGAACGCAATAGGGACGCTTTGTCATATCCATGCGCTCACTGAAAGCAGGCACCGTCCAGTTATACTTACATCCATCTCCTAAAGCCAGGGCCGACAAGATAAGGAAAGGAGCAGACTTGCCAACGAACTCGTACATGACACCGCCGAAGGGCGGGCCGATCAACACGCCCAGCGCTAGACCGCCCAGGGCGATACCCATCGCGTTGCCTCGTTCTTTATCGTCAGGGTACCGCTCCGCTAACATCCCCATGCCTGGGGGTGGGTTCCAAGGAACGAGACACAAAACAACCCATTAAATTACAAACCCACAATTAATACAATTAACCAAATGAATACTTCGTAAGTATCATTAACTTTCATTAGTAATTTTTTTTTTTAAAATATGAGTCATTTTATGGGCTGGAAGATCTGGGAAAGTTTTAATCACACCAAAGGGAATCTGAAGCTGAAACTAATCCGGGAATCATTGCATTATGAAACAAGGATCACTTACCAGAAACACTGGAACAAGAGGAGCCTATGCCTTGAAGGGCCCTCGCCAGGAACAGAACGCTGTAGCTACGACCAAAAGCGAAAACTGGAAGAACAAAGCACCGACTTAGCAGACAGCAGAGACAGCTCTCGCATTGCTACTGAATAATTTTCAAACATTTCAGCTAGTCGATAAGATCTCGTGTTAGTCGTGGACAAATGGCTTGAATTGTTTCATCGATTTCATTTTCGGTATAGTTACTTCTTCTCAAAAATTTCACAAACACGTACAATATCAATATGGCGCCACTACCTCGAATACTACGAAAAAACTTACAATTTTGAAGATGACTTGTCTTGTGGGTTGTTGTGTTCGTGTAGTTTGGTACAAGTTCATTCATCGCCCTGATGACAGAGGCTCCAAGCACCTCTGAAACGTCGGTAAACTTCTACCAGACTATCGAAGAAATAGCCCTGAAGACAGATCACCTTCTTCTAAGTCTCATTTTTCATTTTCTTTTATCTCGAAAGGAAAACCCGAAGGAAAACGTTTATCGTGGTGTGAGGTTTTAATAGACCAGAGGATCGAGCATTTCGTGGTTCAAAAGACTGATGAGCTGCATTAGAAAGTCAAAGAACTCCATCCACTTCCGTTTCCTGTTTGTTTTAATTCCATTACCGCTAGAGGGAACACAGGTTTCAATGCTACCAAATTAAATTTTCATTGATCCATTGCATCCAACATCACGATATGAAGTTGGTTAACGCAATGTTCTACAGTCTGTGGTCCACGACATAATTCTATTAGCTATTTTGCTGGAAACGCTTTCACTGTGGTCCAACACTTGTATCAAAAGCGACAACTCTCTCATAAGAGCGTATTAATCAGGACGAAACACCGCAGGAAGTACTTTAAAAGTAAAATTCCCTATAATTATACAAGACTAATACATTGTCCCAATTTAGACCCACAACTTTGGACTTCGCCAATAGTTAAGTTGCACGAAGTATGTCTCAGGACTTAAAAATGTTACGAACTCCTGACGTAATACAAAAAAACTTACTGAGTGTGGACAGGAACATGATAATGAATCCTGTGAACATCGGGATACTGTAACCAATCCTG